CCAGATGTTGTCATAGCCAGCAAGGGTCGCTGTGCCTTAGCGGGAACGCCTGGTGCGCCTCAACACCCTCCAACGCCGCGAGTCGGGTAGCGAGTTCTTCTTCCCTCTGGCTGCGTGCGACTTGGCGCTGCTAGGCCTTCCCACACGTCAGGTTTAAGGCCGGAGGACAGGCCTGCCACGCCTGACTGGCCTGTCGGAAACGGCCAGAGCAGCAGTGCAAGAACATTGGTGGACGACGGCCTCCAACCGTCCAGGCTATCGAATCTCCGCGCATCTCGAGGTACGCCTATTGGAGTTCGCGAGAGTGTCCGAGGCAAAAAGACGAAAGAGGACGGCCGTCTGAGGTCCAAGTCGTGGCCAGAGGGCCAATTGAGGGCCAATTGCGTGGCCCCCCGGCGTCGAGTGAAGGTACTGCTGGGTACTGCTGGGTAGTGCTGGGTACTGCTAGGTACTGCTGGTGCTGCGGCCTCACTGCCTCGTGGCAGAGCCGTGGTCGCCCCAAGAGGAGGAGCTGTATAAATGCATAGTAAGACATGCAGCTGTCAAATGCCCCTGATCAAAACCGCCCGTCCGCTACTGCCTTCCGTCGTGCCCATCCGGCGCTGAGCAGAGGCCCTTTTGATGTTTGCTTGTACTTGTAGCCATGTTCATTGTCCAGCGGCGGTAGCTCCCAAACCACAAGATTCGGAAAGCCCAGCAGCGAGCGGGTCGGCTCAAGTCCTCAACCGTGCATTGGCACTGGCACTCGAAGTTTTCTGGCTCCTGGGAATGCTCATACATGTCATCGGCGCTGCAAACCCGAACGAACCCGGACCAGAGGGGTGCTGCGCGCGTCGAGTCCACAGCAGCAGCAGGGACGGAGCTCGCTGAGCGTGGAGGGCGTCCAGGCAAGGCCGTGAGAGAGAGTTTGCTGCTGCAGCGGCAGACCAGCGACCAGCGCAAGAATGTCAGCTAGGACCTCGCAAAGGTAACCGGTCTGGCAAGACCGTGGAGAGCGTGAGGGAGGCGACGCCGAGGCTAACATTATCACTTGCGCAGGAGAGACTATCATATCGTCGTTTTGGGCGCAGGTGCGTGACTTCTCTCCTTCAGGAGGCCGAGTCTCACAGCTGACAATCTCTGCAATTCTAGGCGGCGTGGGCAAATCGTGCCTCACTGGTAAGGTTCGCCACCCCTTTGATGGGCCTCGTGCTGACCCTCCTGCCAGCACAATTTGTCCAGAATGTCTGGATCGAGAGCTATGATCCCACGATTGAGGACTCGTACCGGAAGCAGATCGAGGTCGATGTGAGTTTGCCGTCGAGGTGTCTCGTGTCTGTGCTGCGGCGACTGACGCATAGTGACAGGGCCGTCAATGCATGCTTGAGATGTAGGATTCCCCATTGAGCTCGCGACATGTGGCTCACAAATTGTAGATTGGATACAGCTGGCACCGAACAGTTCAGTAAGTTCAAGACATACAACAATCACGTGACCAGAGACTAACTCTTGACAGCGGCGATGAGGTACCGCGCTTCCACGATTTGGTGGCAAGAAAAGACGTTGGATTACTGATCGCTGTCCTAGGGAATTATACATGAAAACAGGGCAAGGGTTTCTACTCGTCTTTTCCATCACCAGCCAGAGCAGTCTTGCCGAGCTTCAAGAGCTCCGAGAGCAGATCATCCGCATTAAAGATGACGAGAACGTCCCTATCGTCATTGTTGGCAATAAGTCCGACCTGGAAGAAGATCGAGTTGTGACACGGCAGAGAGCATTCACCGTCTCACAGAGCTGGGGAAATGCACCCTATTACGAAACTTCTGCACGGCAACGGGGTGAGTTTGACAGTCAAGTTTGAACCACAATGCTAATCTCAATTAAGCAAATGTGGATGAAGTCTTCATAGATCTCTGCCGGCAGATCATCCGCAAAGACAATACAACAACGCCGAGTATAGAAGAGGAAATTGTCTATCACCGAAGGGAGCACCGGCGACCGCGTAGGTCGCGACGGAAGAAAGAGAAGGGGGGGTGTACGATATTATGATGATATTGAAGAGCCAAAGACCATGATTGCCATAAGTCACAAGCGCAATGTGGTCCTGGAGACTACGAGAGGCGTTCCGATTCATGTTGTTCCTTTCAAATGGTGGCATTTTGTGGACAAAATGGGATTGCATTTATGGGGTTCTAACATAGACAGGAAAAGTTCACGATTTATGAACTGGACATAGCTCATAGAGGCGGTCATATTGAATGATCCATACTCCTTAGATCATTTTTGAGAAGTGGTCTGCTTTAGCGATACTGCCCAAACACTCCGTCTGTCATCATTCTTCGACTAGGATATTGTTGAAGGACGCAAGTGCTACCTGGATACTCGATCCGGAAGATACCAATGTGTCTGTCTATATATTTCTAGCTCATCTATCTTCATCCAATCTGTTGCATAGCTCCGCACGGAATAGTTTCTCCGCATTCCTTGTACCGCCCTGCTCTAAATCGTCGGATGGTATCAAAGTCCGGGAAAGTCTCCCTCATGATTTGAGCGCTCCACACTGCATTTCAAAAGCATTTTCTAACGACAATCTCGCCTTGGAAGGTGATTCTGGGCGAATAGTTAGACTAGATCTGGATAGCCACTTCAAACCCGTAACAGTGAAATTTCCTGGAACTTCGGATAGAAACTCACCCTGCGTATATCCTGCTTCCAATGAACCAGGCCTATCTGGCTTGGACCGGAAAAACGGCAATTTGACTTCCCGCTCAGCAAATCGGAACTCAACATTCTCACGCCTGCACTCTTCGGCAATGTCATCGAATGTTTTATCTTCTGCTTTTGCTTGAACGCGGATTTTGCGAGTTCTGAAACGCCAAATCAGATGTGAGATGAAGATTCCGCCTTCGATGAATACACATAGGATATACAACACTCCTCCTAGGATGTCGAAAGTGTTTTGTGCAACTGCATCATCATCCCGGAATCAGTATTTGTAAAAGTATAGGGCATGTATGTGAACTCACCAAGCGCCATCAACGAGAAGAAAGCTCCCATCCAGTCGATGGTAAGGAATATCTTTCCTGGTCAGTAGAGTGAAGACAAAGTTGATGGGGGGCCATACCCAGTTTATTCCAATAACTCTTCCTCTCCGCTTCCATATCTCTATGTATGGTGGCAGCAGTCCTACTGCAAGGAGTATGCTAGCAACAACGCCAAGAATAATCATTGGGAAATCGATCCCGCGATCGTACAACGGCTTTCTTGTCAACGGGTACTTGAAGTAGCACAATAAGAGCAGTGATTTACCTTAAGTGTCAATATCAACGCTGCTTCAAGTCCACCGAGCACAAGCCAGATTATTCCCGCAATGGAGCTCGCTTTCCACGCTGGCCATTGACTGGGGAAAAGTAAGCTGGAGTGACATGGTGGTGTGAAGGAGCTTACTCGTGATAGATTAAGGTTTGTGCCCAACTAACCAAGCATAATGTACCGAAGACTTGTGGCTGCACTTGAATGGGAATATTGAAATTCTGAGAAATAGTAAGATCGGGTGCTCAAGCAGGAAGGGATTCAAACTTGGGCAATTGAATATGCTCCGAAGGGAACAGCACCTGTGAAGAGTTAGACCAGAAGCAGGCTAGGATAGGAGCACCTACAAACTGCCCACAGAAACATCATTATGCCGGGGAGGCCATCGGTTTTCTTGGCGCGATAGTTCGTCCATATCCTGGGAAATTAGCAGGTGATTGGAGCTAATGATGAGCAGTGCTCACTGAGGTACTAGCTACATTCTGTCAGTGGAGTTCTATAGTATGGAGGTTTAACTCACCTGGATGCACCAGCAGCTACCTGTTTATTAGCAAGGAAATTATAAAGGAAGGTTGAGCGCATACACTATGAACTGTCAGTTTCGTTCATACCTGGGAAGTCGACGAACCTGTGCCAATCGTCCTATGATAAGAGTTAGCGATTACCTTCTCGCCTCGTTGATGTCTACTTACCCAAGAACGTTGGCAGCCTGGAAGTGTCAGTCTTAATTTGGAATGACAAGAACCGGATCATTCGACGCAATAACAAGAGTTATTGATTTTATACGGAAGTCCTATAATCAAATAAAGGGCTGAAATATCTGAGTAATCTATACCGCCCTTTGACTCTTCAGTGAGCTAGGTGGAGGTTCGTGTTCGATTCGCGGCGGTTGCGTTTCATTCCCCTTTCGCCATTCTGTTTATTGCTGAATCCTCCCACTCTTGATTATATCGGCCGATATTACTCAGATATTTCAACACTTGCATTCAAATATGGGACTTTCCATATATAATCGTGGCCTGATGATTGTCCTGGGCCTCAATTCGTGGAAATCTTGCTTTCAAATTGTTTTGCAATCAAAGTGGGGGGAGGGGAATGCGTACAACTGGGATGCTCGTCTGCGGTGCCATGGTTGGATGCCAATCAAAGGTCTTGGCGAATCTACTCTAATTCCCGGGATATCGACTGATATATGAGATATATGTATAAGTAAATACTTGAGTACAACGCCATGCAAAACACAATGGCATGAAAATGAAATATAAAAGTTGTTACGAATAGTACCAGAAAAAATTGGTTGTGCTATTACCTCACTAGCCGGGCCGGCGCCACTTGCGAAGGGCGCATCAAATAATAAACGACCCACGCGATTTGCCTTTATGAAGCTCCCTTTATGAGACTCGTCTTTGTGGTGCCAACCTTTATAAGGATGATAAATTAGAGAATAAAACAATTTCCAGAGTGTATTGGATGAGGTAGTTTGAGATGTTCAGATGCTAGATATTATTTGTGATATGGTGCGAGTACGAACATGCTTCTCATTTCACACTTCCATGGGTAGCTGGAGTGGTGCTAACCGTTGCTGGTTCTCACTTTCGTGAATAACCTAACTACCCGAACAAAGAGAACTTTCGCCTGTAATACGTCCAAAAATTAGCACCTCAGTAATAAAAAGATCAAGATAAATACAATTCAGTAGCAAAAAGAGATGCAACCGCCGTGAATCGAACACGAACCTCCACCTAGCTCACTGAAGAGTGGAAGGGTGGCTAGAATTATGTTAGTAATTTGACATTGACGAGGAACTGTAATGGTTGCTTACAATCCTAACCATTGGACCACGGAAGCGACTTGGTTCTTGTGCAGAAAAGATTCTTATTTTATATTATTAAGCTTAGATAAAAATGCGGGCCATCCGACCAATTAGTGGGCGTGTCTTGGTGGGGCCCGGCACATCTTGGCTTATAGGAGACCTACTAAGGAGTTCTTCTGTATGAGAATGAATACATTCTGTACTTTATATGTTTTGAAGGCCATTCCAAAGAGATAAAAGTTTTATCAAAAGCAGGTAAGTAGTATTTTATTTTCTAGTCAATTTAGTCGATTACCCACAAACTCACATTCTCGGTACTTGGCAATAAATAGAATTTGCTACGTACGTAGCTAGGGAAACAGTAACAAGTTCTTTGCCAGGGATTTCACCTAGACATAAACATGAAAATTCAAGTCAATCTGTGGTTCCCTCTATCTTCGTGGCTTGTCCAGAACCAGGTTGAAAAGAGTGCGTCCTGAATTTCATGAATTACTCCCAGCAGCTACTTTAAATTCTTCTTAAGTGACAGATTTCCCTTTTCTATCACCCATAGATTCTAGTTTTAGGAAGCTCTCAAAAACATGAAAGCATGATTTCATCACAGCGCTATCAAGTTTACAGTAATTCAGAATCGCCGTGTCCCTCATGCACATACTCCTTCTCCCGCAAGCGCCAAGCGCCACAGGGGAGTTTGCCCCCTGTTGTTGAAACAGAAGGGGGGTGCTGCAATGGGTTCTAAATCTAGCTCCCTTCCATCCCGAAGCAGTGCTTGACGTTTCAAAGTCTTCCGAAAGGTTCGTGGGGGTCCAAGGGGTATCATGGGGGTCAATGTGAGGTCAACGATAATCTTCGAACAATTATGAATTCCACGAGCTATTTCGAGCCCCAGGGCTCAGATTGCTCTTTAACAATACGTTAATAAGCGAGATAGAAACCTTCACACCTGGTGTAATGCTGAAAACAACGAGAGACTGCAGCTAAAAGGGACGGCAATGCTATCACATGACTGAAAACATCCCAGAATATAGAGCCTCATGTCTGATCAGCAAGATGGTGTGGAACTTTTGGGGGCATCGAGAGTACCCCCATCAGCACTAACAGTTTCGTGTGCCAATTAATGGACCGTGCGACCATGTGGTGCTAAAGCACGTCCTAAAGCATACTTTCGCGGCTATGCATGAGAGGAGAAGCCGGCGTGCATGGCAACAGGTGCAACTTATTGGTCAATGGTGTTGGAAATCCGGGTCTTGGTCAGAAAGAACCAAGGTCAGTGGGAAGCCACCGACAACGCACGCATTCACTTTGAGAAGGGCTAAGGCAGGTCTGCTATAAGTGCCGTTATTCGCATATACACACACAGCCTTGTGAAACGGAAGCTACTTCTCGGAGGAAGACATCTTTCCAGCCGCTCCGAATGTCCCTCTGACCAGGTTGACGGGGCTTCTGAAGGCTGTGGACGAGTGTTCTGTGCCGACCTTGGGGGCGTGGTTTCTTTTTCGTTGAGAGGGCCCGAGGACAGGAGGCTACGGGAAGGTTCCGGCAAGCGGAGGTCATCATCATCTGACAAGTTTCGCGACCTGGGGAACATGGTTTCTTCTCCCCAAGCTTGCGAGCGGACCATGGACACTGGAGGATCTGACTCCGCCTGGTACCAAGGGCTTTCGGACACGGTTCTGCTAGCATGTGGTCTTCTCGGTCGACTTTCGCACCACCTCCCCTTCCCCACCAGAGAGCATCGAATAACGGCCGCGAGATTTTTACACAAGAGGAAACGCTGCACTTCTGCATCTGCGATGCAGGAAATCGAACCATCGCGAGACGAGAAGGGTTAGCGACCTCGAGAAGCAAACATTCCTTGCAGCGCTGAGCAATCAGTGAGTGAGGTCTGTAACTTGCGTGTCTGCGATGCTGAACCCCACCAAAGGTACGAGAGCCCAAGTCATCGAGGCGCAGCGTCTAGAACAATTCGCAGACGGCCACAGTCCAAAACAGGAGACATGGCAATCCACGATGACAGCATCCGTGTTGTTGTCGGAAAAACTACCCCGTCCTCAGTTCGCCGATCCATCACCAGGTCAAGATTCGTGAGTGCCATTTCTCGAGAGCCAGTGCGGTGGGATAAGCCCCTCACCCAGCCCACACACCCTCAGCAGGACCCAAGCAGCACGCCCCTGTCGAGGGGAAGAAGGTGCACGGCCTGCCGGCCTATGAAAGGACCACAGGACACCCTGGACTGTAATCCTGGATGTGGAGCTTGTCGAAGGCGTCAAAGCTCCTTGTAAAAGTTGCCACCCTCCAGGGCTCGAGTACATTACATGACATGCCGAGCACCAAGCTGCGCTCCCTCATCAGCTTTCATTCCTCGCAACTTCAACCGGCTTGAGGCGTCGAGCGCCGCTTACGACCGCCGGTATCAAGTGTCTCCAAGACTCTCTCCAACGGCCTGCAAACTCTGAGTGCCGCGTGCTGAACCGCTCGCACGGTCAACGGGATACCACTGGAAGACCTGTCTACTGCTGGGAGTGTTTACGAGTTAAAGAGGTAAGTTTCCGTCCATGCGCCTCGCAGCAACATCGGAATCGTGGCCGCGTCTTGGATTCGAGCTATCACTTTCCCATAGGAACGTTCGGCAGGCATTGAGAGATCTGCCATGTGCTCCGAGTGCCGCAAGCAAGCCGGACGCATTTCGAGAAAGGTCTGGCTGCCGACTGATGAACAGTTGAAAACACTCTCCCGACATCTGAAGAGTTAATCTGAGTTAATCTGAGACACGCTTCAGTCCTGCATTATTTACCATAAATTTCAGCGTACAAAAGCCCATTTGGGCATAAAGCGATTATCCGTTCCCCTGATACGCGTTCACCAATGGTGTGCCCTCGATTTTCGAGGCACACGCATTCGTGCTCAGCGCCTCCAGTGCAAGACGTCAGATGGGAGCTGTGTAACCTTGTGGAGGAGAGTCGGAAAAGGAACCATACACCCATCGTCACAGCCGACCAAGATCTCCTGGCATCGTGACCGGCCTGCAAACGGGTAAGGAGTTCCTTTTCTGAGTACTCTTGCCAGAGCAGTCTGCACTTGGCGGTTGGCAGCTGGCAGCTGGCAGTTGGCGGGCGGCAGCCACACGGCTGCTGTCCATCAGATATCAAAGAAGGGGTCCTCTGCAGCTGCATGCCTCCCGCAAACCGAAGGAACATAAGTCGGTTGTCTCACTGAAATCTAGCCTCCGGAGTGCTCCTGGTCCCTGTCTCCAATTCTCACCACCATCTCGACAAAGTTAAACCAGCAGCCAGAGCAGGAGGTCCAATGCCGTCCAAACGAAGCTGAGACACTTTCCACTGGGCGCCTCCCAAAGCCGTGAACCCTCAGTCCCAAGCAGCAGCCCACCACCAACGTTGTCGACGGTGTATGGCCGCAAGCAGCCAACTCTGTGCACGCGATCTGGCACGACGGAATTTTCCCAGCACCTGGGCAGGTAGATAGGTGTACTTCGTACAGTAGTCCTGGTAGCGTAGCGCAGGTCAGCCAACGAGGGGAAAGAGAAGCGCCTTTTTAAATTCCAGCGGGCAGCGAATCACATTCTGCCATGATTATCAATCTCAATCTCATCCCGAGAGCCGAACGTTGAAGCAGATGGATCATGGATCGCCCGCCCGCCCTGATTGCATGCGATACTGTAGAAAGGACGGCTTCGGCTGGGCTTGGGTTTGGGCGTTGCTGAAGTGTGTCCTATGTTATGTGTCCTGTGTCCTGTCCTGGATAGACGTCGTTCGTTTCCGCATCTCGCATCGCGCCCACTGGGGAAGCGCTCGTCGGGGCGCGCACATGGCACTCTGCACTCTCCTCTGGCGCGGCATCGTGGCATCGTGGCATCGCGGCATCGCGCTCACGCCAATTTAGGGTTCGCAGGCAGACGCAGGCAGGTTCTGGACAGAGTGATCATCGCTGCGGAGCGCATTGGAGGCTCTCTGCCGCTGGCAAGCTCGCATCCAAGGTCCCACTGCACGCCCACTCCCACGCTGTGTGCCATCCCCGTCGAGAGCCCCCGGCGAGCCCCCGTCGTGCCCCCGCTGCGCTGCAGCTGCTATCGCCCGTGGCCCTTGGGAGTGCTTGGTACATAGTGCTTGGTGGCCCTTGGTGGCCCTTGGTGGCCCATGGTGGCCCTTGGAGGTGGTCGAAGGTGGTGTGGAGCCGGCTCAGGGATCCTGACACTGCGCAAGAGCTCCCTGAGGTCCTCCTCCCTCCCCTCTCCCCTCTCCCAGGTCGCCCGCCTGCCTCTGTTCCGCCTTACCAAGGGAAATCTGCAACTAGTGCCAGCTGCTGCTAGTGTCGCGCTAGCTTTATCACTCTTAATCCAAGTTCGCCCCCCCAGCCAATCAGCGCTCCTTCGCGGCCTGCCCTTTCACCTCAGCGACAATCCCCAATCCCCCATTATTTCACCCACCCGTTCCATCTTAAGAAAACACTCCGAGAAAGCCCAGTCCTCCTCCTGCTCGCCCAGTCCCAGACCCTCCTCCCGACACTCCTTCAAGTATATCCTCGCGCCGACAGCAGCAGCTCGAGTCGCCCGAGTCCCGTCCCCGCGCCCGTCCAGCCCACACAGCTTGCGACCGAGGGCAGCTCTCCTCCAACACCACATTTCCGCCATTGAGGTCGACGCGGGTCGCACGGTCTTGCAGCAGTACCTGAACTCGGGAGTCGACGAATTCGACAGCTCACCTCTCACGAGTGCTTGCCAAAGTCTTCCCGCAATCTACCGCCCGTCGTCCCCAGCAGAGTCTCTTGTTGCGCGAGGTCTTATCGTACCCTTCCAATACCCATCCCGCGCTTTATCTGATACTCGCCATTCTCCTCCGGACTGCACATCGTCGTCACCACGCCCTGTCGAATACTTCGAGGCGCGTCCCAAGACTCGATCATCGACGCCACTGTCGCAACCTCGTCCAGAAGCTTTTGTGCAACTGAGGCATGAGCCTGGTTCAAAGTCCGTTTAGCGCATACACAGCAGCACCCTTCTCCCAATACCAACACACTG